GTTGTAATTAGAAAGTCATCTGGCAAACTTGTCAGTGAAAATCTCTTCCACACCGAGCAGGCCCAGGATCATTACGTCTGCCTAGTAAACAACTGGGGCCCTCTTGCATTATTTATGGGTTGGGTCTTATTTCTAAGCACAATCAGGTCTCTTGGTAACTAGCTTTCACTCACATTAAGCTTTTTCTTCTTCATTTCTACATGATTCGTTCTCACTTTTGCCATTTTTTTTTCATTAACATCATAGGAAAAAAATCACTCCTCCAAGCATTCAGTCCGCCGAACACATACCCAGACGCTGTTGCTGTGAGGTAAACCGTGTTAATATTACTCAGCATAATAAATAATGTCTCAGAGCTCCTTGAACTCTTTGTTTACATACAGTCCAGCAGCTTTCACTGCATTGGGGCGTTCATCTTCTTCTGTTTCCTGTAATGAACTTCTATGTGCACATTTTAGATCTAGTCATTTATTTCACTGATAATATTCAAACAAAATGACATGGTCTTGCATGCTGAAGGGTAATCTGCAGACCGAGAGAACTCCTTCTTCTTTTGTGCATCCTGAATAATAAGGGAGTTTCATTCCTCTTCAAGAAAATGAAGATGAGCAACTGCATTTGGAATTCTATTAGATTTACTTCAGGGCTGCGTCGGTAACGTTCCATTTACATAGTCATATATGCATAACACAGATACCTGTGTCCTTTTAGCTCAAACCAATGTTATCTATTCCCTTTCATTCCTGGAACCTTGATTATGCTCCTCTTTAAAACATAGCTCAAAATTCAACCTTCATGAAAACATTCTAAAATTGACTTTACTTATTTAACTGATTAATTTTTTTATTTAAATTTATGGGAAGCTTCAAAGAGACACGGAAATAGGAAGACTAATGTAATGAGCACTGGTAGCATGGTCTTCTTTTCCATGGCTTCGACAGCCTTTAGCAGGTTGCCATTCTTGGTCATCTGCCAAGATGACTCTTACAAAGATTTTGCTGGAATCTTTTAAAGCAACTCCCAGATAAGATGTCTATCATCCATAAATACTTTATGGTTTCAAATGTACCAGTAGTATTACTAAACACTAAACACAATTAACAATAATTCTTGAATATCATCTATATTCACACCATGTCTAATTTCCCCCCATCCTCTCAAAAATGTCCACAGTTAGTTTGTTCAAAGCAGGGTTCATAAAGGTCTCTGCACTGCATTGCAGTTAGAATACTTGTTGAGTCACTTTTAATCTAACAGTTCTAGCTCCCTTGTCCAGAGCATTTATTTGTTCAGGACACTCGCTCTCTTACTTACCTTACCGTCATTCCCTCAATGTTGATGGGCCCAGCCTGCCTTGCCTAATTCAGATATAACCCACAAGGCAGCCACATGGGTGTCCTTCAGGCTTTGAGTCTGCTGGAAGCAGCCCAGAAATAAAAATTGCTGTGCCTCATGTAAGTAAAATAAGATTATAAACAAACAGGATATAATCAACATAGAGTTAAAGAATTTTGCCTTAAAATAATTCTTCTGATATTTGCTGACCTCACTAAGATGATTTCATGGTGAATGAAGCAGATGGACAGCACGGGTTTTGCCCATCTTGTGCATAAGACCTCTGCCCAAAGGAGAACTTGCATAATCATCACACACCCTCCACCTGAAAATACAGAGACAGCTGTCTGGGTGTATGTAGCTCTCTGGTGTGCTAGGAAACCATGCTTTGTCTGATGCATCTTTTCTACAGTTAAAACCACCCTGTTTTCAGTATCTTAGAGGTGACATTTAGGGTTTATAAAGTTGAGAGACCAGATGGTTTCCTTTTCAAGCATTTATATTTTCCTCACCCTAATAGCAGGAAGTTCATTTCAGATTGCATTTCTGTGCTTGAATTGTTGTGTTTCCTCTAAGTCAGATGTTTCCTCTAAGTTTCCTCTAAGTTGAGATGTATGATAAATTTTCAATATATTGTGCAAATATTGCTGTTGTTACATGTTTAGATAATATTACATGACTAATTCATTCAAAGTACACTGTCTAAAATCTTAGATAAGGGCAGTAGAATGCTGCGTGGGTTTCTGAGAACAGATATGGGAAATTTCCATTTTTTTTTTCTTTTCCACTAAGAAATACTTAAGGTATACATACAGGGAAGAGGGCTTCACATTTATGCAAATAATACAGATCTGCACAAAATAAGCTAGCTTGTTTCTGGAACTGTGTTGTTAGTGGTTTCCTTTTATCTTGGTTTTTTGGCGTCACATAATGTGATGAGAGAGCAATTCTGAAACAAAACTTGTGAGAGAACCTTAGAAAGTGAGCTTTAATGGAGAACCCAAGGTAATTTCATTTAGTTTCTCAAAAGATTTCTATTCAGTTCTCTGTTTCAGAGAGTCAGATTGGATGAGTAGATAAAAGTAGTCTTATTTCAAAGAACCCAAATTTAGTTTTATAATTTTTGTAATTTTCTTTTATTATAAACAGTGGGACCCTCTTCACAGCCTAGAGTTCTGATATGGTCAAATCTCTTATTTTCCAAATTAATCATTCTTCAGATTCCTACATATCCCGATAAACAAATCATGTAATATCTCCCTCTTTGTCGGTCCTTCCTCTCGAGCTTCCTTGGGACAGCTCGGCTCACAAACCATCAGAGATTACTAAATTTACAGTGTTTAACCATCAGAAATTACTAAATTTACAGTGTTTAAGGAATCCGCTCTGCCTCCACATGGCAGCAGACTGCAAAACCACATCATTAGCACCCACCCCAGTACTGAGGATGTTAATCCTCCCAAGCTATGTAGATGCTCCCTTGGTTCACTGCTGAGCAAGTCCCCTTGAGTCCCACTTTTAGAGCTCCCTTAGTTCATCTGCACATGCTCAGCATTGTTTCCCAACCTTGGCGCACTGCCAAGGGTGGTGGAGTACCAAGGCACTTTCCACTCTTAGTCTCAGATCTCAGCCAGACCCTTCCCGGTGCCTTGACTACTCAAGTGAATGGGTCTCAAACTTAAATGTGCATAAGGAACATCTGAGCAGCTTGGGGGGTGGGGGTGGGGGTGGGGGGGGACACATATTCTCTGACTCCACTCACAGAAATCTCATTCAGGAGTTCTGGAGTGAATCCAAGAATCTTCCACTTTCACAGTATTCCAGGTGTTTCTGTTGCAAGTGAAAAAACATCACTGGCCAGAGCAGTGGTCTGAATCCACTGCTGTGCATTTGAATCATGAAGGAGTTTTAAAAAGATGCTGATGCCCAGGACCCTGTCCTCAACCCATAAATCAGAATGTTTGAGTTGGGCAAGGGGACGGACATCTCTCAGAAGCTCTCCAGGTGATGGTAGTCCACAGCCTGCTTTGAGAACTGCGACTAGACCAGCAGGATAAACACAGTGCCGCAGACAGCGCCTCTCCTGGGTGGTGAGCACCTCTTCAGGGCACTTGTTGCTGTCTCCTGTCACTAAACTTTCATAACCGCCACCACTGTTCACTCTACCCGGTTTTCATATATTTAAAATTCAGGGAGCCCTGTTTCCTCTTCATACAAATTGGCCCTTTCAGTGTTGTGCACCTTAAATGAAGAGTATCTTCAGCTCAAAACTAGATGAATACTGACCTACCTTTGCACAATTGGGTAACTTTTCCTGCACCAGCTGTGACAAGCTGTATTCACCTACACAGAGAAAGTCTTCCCTTGCGAAAACTGTTACAACCTCTTAGACACCCCGTCACACAGCCCTGCTGCTGGGTGTTAAGTTTCACTATACAGATCTGGAGAGTGTTGTCTAACCCGGGCTCCCGGGTGCCCTAACTATAACTTAGGATCAAAATGTCAGGCTCCTTCACTTAGTTTCATGATGAATAGAATCCTGAGCAGGAAAGAGATCAAGTTCCAGCCTAAGCCATAAACCTGAACGGGCCATGTAAATCAGTGTGCCTGGGGCCGTGTAAGCTAGTTCAAGGAAGACACTTTTAGGACCAAGGTCTAAATGTTTCATCTTCTTCCTCAAGAAATGAATAAGTTATTTTTAAAACCATGGGAGAAAATTGCAGAGAAAGGGGACTTTAAAACATCACTTGCTCTTTTTCTTTGAGACGTGATACCTTAAAGCAATTTTATGACTGTGTTCAATAAGCAATAAAAATATGACATGATTTTAAAAAATCCAGTAGAACAATATCTTGGGGGAACTCATATATATATATATATATATATATATATATTACTTGACCATTTTTTAGGGCTCATATGTAATTGGGGAAATGTCGGTTATGATATAATAAAGATTGCTAAAATTTTTGTTTTCATTTTTAAATTCATGGTTGATATTTGTGCTTGTGAAGAACTTGTAGACAGAGCTGAATGGGGGACTTGAAGACAGTCCCCCCTCCCCATTAACCACTCCACAGCCATCCCAACAAGCTTCCAATGTAAAATAACATACTTTCCATGCAAATGTAGCTACAAGATGGATTCCATAAGCGTCCCCTCCTCACCCAAACCTTCCAGTTTGTTGCCACTAAGATCCCTCTATATAGAAATCCTAGAGCAGCCAATGATATATAAATATTATTAGAGGAATGTGGTGTCTCCCAGAACCTCTATGAATAGTCTTTGTTCAGCATAAACTATTATCAGAACCCATGTGTTGTCTCTTAAATAATTAATTTCTAAATAAGGACTTGAAATCCTTAATAGCTTGTAATAAAAATGGCTAAATGCTGTGTGTGTATGTGTGTGTGTGTGTGTGTGTGTGTGTGCTTTTCTGTGTCACAAAAATCACTGAGGGTTATCTGTTACTTTAAAAAACCTACAGGATCAATTTAATGACTACTATGATTATTAGAAACACTCCTCCCAGATTTCTGCTGCAAATAAAGAATTAAAAGAGGATTCCTCTGACTGCGTAAGAAAATGTTGGTTAATTCCGAAATTGTGGAATAATTATAGACATTCAAATTTGTTTTAAACAGCTTTATATGCTTTTCCTTTAGCTATTACTTGTCGAAAGCAAGATGGAGGACAGGCTGGCATCCATGAATGCCTTTGGTATGCAGGCCCCGTGCCAGCCCTCACCCAGGCCTGCCAGATCCCCTGCCAAGATGACTGTCAGTTTACCAGCTGGTCCAAGTTTTCTTCTTGCAACGGAGACTGTGGTGCGGTTAGGACCAGAAAGCGCACTATTGTTGGTAAGAATAATTGCGATGCGAAAGCCAATACTGTCAACTTAGGAAATATGTTAAAAGTTAGACCAACAGAGTTCTGACAATGTATTTGGAAAATATATAGATATGCCTTATTGCTGGTGTACTGATACTATGCCGGTGGATTTGCCTGTGTAGTTTCATGTAAGTTGACAGTAACAGACGTGCTATGTACTTTTAGTAGAAAGGAAAAGTAACCCTGAAAATTGAGCTGGCTCCCCATACAATAGGTAGATTATTTTTTGGTTTAAGCATACCCTTCTGGCAGAGTGCCTACACTGTGAGGTGTTTAGAGAACAAAAGGAAATGTTGCCACTTAATTTTCTTAACCCATTCTCACTGTCACAGCCTCAGATTATTTTTCATAGCCTAGAAGAGGAATATGACACTAATTTTGTATCTGAAAACTGCATTTTAAAAGGCAGTCACAATGACAAAAAGTGGCGATATAATGAGCAGAACAGGAGCTATCATACTGAGCTAAACCTGGTGCATTCAAAAATATTGTCAGTGGCAAAAAGAAAGCTAAAAGAAAAAAAAAATAGCCAGTAGACTATTCAGAATTTAAAAGTTATACAATGAACCACCTGTCATAAAGAAGTCTGTTGAAGACTATATAAGGCACATTCTGAAAGTTAGAAATAAATATATGTAAAACATATGCAGTTAATTGTGTGTGATATAACTAATAGTATGATATATATTTAACATAACATAATAGAAATGTGATTAAAATAATGATATATTAATTTTCAAGCACATATTACTGTTCGTTTTTTATTTTAAAAGGGAATTTCTTTAGATTTACATACAGACCATTCCTAGCACTTTCTTCTGACACTCAATATCTTCACTGTGGATATTATTTACTACACTAATCACCAAGTATGTCAAAATGATGACTCTTCAGAAATAATGAAAGATGCAAACTCATAATCAGAAAAGTAAATATAAAAATCTCATTTTCTGAATTATAATCCTATATACCCATGCCATCTATTCGGAATAAACAGAAAGCTGTACAGTCCAGTACAGCGACTCTCTCTCTCTCTTTCATATTTTGCACATATTATAAAGGAGAGATTTATGCAATTACCTTAAACTCCCCTAATCAGTGAAAGCCCATGATCATTTGAAAGGATTTTAATCATTCAAGGAGTATAAAATGCAGCACAACAGTGAACGCCTTTTGCAAAATGGTGATTTTAAAATGAGAAAATAAGAAAAATTTTACTGTTGCAAGGCACCCAGTATTAATAAGAGCCTCCAGAGAAAGCACTGTGGAGTGAGAAAATAGCATTTATTTGTAAGCTACTGTTGAATATGGTTAAAAATGGAGAAAGGAAGTTTAGGAAAGGAAGAAAATTAGGGATGCTTGAAATGAGTAACAATATTATCCAACTTAAATTTCTCCACAGGAAAAAGTAAAAAGAAGGAAAAATGTAAAAATTCTCAATTGTACCCCCTGATTGAGACTCAGTACTGTCCTTGTGACAAGTATAATGCACAGCCTGTGGGGAACTGGTCAGACTGCATTTTACCAGAGGGGAAAGTGGAATTGTTGCTGGGAGTGAAAACACAAGGAGATACCAAGGAATGTGGTCAAGGATATCGTTACCAAGCAATGGCATGCTACGACCAAAATGGCAGGCTCGTGGAAACGTCCAGATGTAACAGCCATGGTAATCCAATTTTTCTTCACTGTTACATGTTTGCTTTCTCTGGGGGTGGAGGTTAAATGAACATGGGTCAGAACGGAGGGAAGTGAAGGTTTACAGATAGTGCTCTAAATGGAGCATTTTGGGGGCACCAGATAGGACACGCAGGGACATTTGTCTTGTCCAGAAGTTGACAACTAAATCCCAGAGTTGGTGGCAAGAAAGCCTTATGGGCAGACAAAAATGGTGCAGGAAACTTCCCTTGGTACAGATGAAGATATAGGCCCAACAAATAGGCCCAAGAAGGCCACAAGAGAGGGAGGAGGGGAGGAGATTTGAATTTAATCTGCAAATAAAGTTACAAACTAGACAGTCTTCTAATAACCAAACTGGCAAGATTTGAAATATGCCTGAAATGTTGCCCAGTGGCAGAGAAGAAAAACTGAAAGTCATAACTGGTGTGAAGTCAAATATCTCTTATTTATTCCTCATTGTGTTAAGATTAGCAAAAAAAAAAAAAAAAAAAATGGTGGCGGGAGAAAAAAAAAAGAAAAATGTACATACTTTTAGTTAACTGTGCCCTCTTTAGTTTTCTAAACCAAACACAGTGATAATAATTAAATTGCCAGATGTTTGTGAAGAGTGGCCATCTTTGATCAGAGTAGGTTGTAAACTCTTTGGTTCTAAATCTTAATATGGTAGTCCTTAAGCAATATTTTCCATTATTCTTTTATTTTAATACATCTGTCTTTTTGTATTGGACTGAGATTTAGGTTAGAGTGGGTCAGCCTGAATCATAGATGCCATATATTTGCAAACACTGGGCAGTGAACCTCTTAACCTTCTTCGTGGAGGTGACCTCAGAAAGATGAGCTACATTGCTAGGAGGGAGGGACATAGCAGTTACCTTCGAACCTTGCTGGAATAGCTTCTGCAATTGAAACAGTGCTCCTCTAGTTTTATTATATGGTTCAGAAAACAACATGAACTAATAGGACCATCTCTATTTATAAACCGTCAAATTACCATCAGTGACACATTTATTGGAATCCCTTAAACCTCCCCCCACAAAGAAATTTCCAAAATTCACTTCCCCTTTTTCACCTTATCTCATAATTCCTTTTTTATCAAAGTCTAGTAAAAATAGCCCCAGAGACTCCATTATATTGAAGCTCTAGATATAAGTATTTTCAGATTAATATATTTAGTTTACTGCATTCCTAACTTAAAGATAGTCAATGCATTTAGAACAATAACTACGAAAGAAAAAAGAATTTGATATTTATAATAGGTGTGCTTTGAGAAATAGGTGCAAGGGTAACTGATATTTTATTTTCTGTATCAATAATATCAGTGCTATAGATTAGAGACCAGGAAAAATGTAAATGCACTTGCATCTGAGATATATGATAATGTAGAAGATCATAATTAGTCATTAAAATATAAAATTGAAGATCACTTTTAAAGATATGTTTCTCCTAGAATATAGCTTATAAGGGTTTGCTCACATTTTAAATTGTTATGCCTAGTGAATCACCAAGATAATCATTTGTAACATAACCTTTGAGTTTTCAGAATGACTTTTGTATATTCTCACTTTTATCCTGTTCTGTTAATTAGATGCAGGAGAGTGTCAGTAAGCCACTTAACAGTCTATCTTATTTTTAGAAAAAAAAAAAAAAAAAGAAAAGAAAGAAAACCCTTAAAAATATCCTGTGAATCTCATAAAAATGTTCAATCACTTAACAAAAGTCAAAGTACAAAAATAATAGAAATTGAACAAAGGCAGTAAACTTAATACCATAGGATTGTTGACTCAAAGCATGAAGAAGACAGTACTATACTCTAGAATAAAAGCACTAAAGATAGATTCCTGATAGCACTGAGCTTTGTGGGGCTTGTGGAAGGATCTAAGACCCTTAACTAAGTAAGTGACTCCACTTTGTTCCTTGTGTCTGTCCAGCATCAATTCTTTCTCATTAAATCTAATCTATGGTAGATGTCCGGTGGGATATTTTAGTATTTACCAATACATTTACTCAAAGTGACATCCAAGGAAATTGAATCTCTGTGGCCTGATTTCTTTGGAAATTGCTTCTTTGCTTATATATGTTCTATCAGTTCTGACGGTGTTGGTGGGAGACTCTAACTTCGGTGTTCTATGCGAGGTGCACTCTACATTACAATCTCAGTGACCACTGCCTTCTCTCAGCCAAACTGGCTTTCCAAATGGATGGTGGAAAAAGAGGCTTTCACGAAAAAGTCTCTTTCTGCTTTCAGATTAAACATAGAATTGATCCCCACGTGTATGCAGTGCAAAGACGTAACTCTTCCCTGTTTGATAGTGGCCTTAGGGTGTTTCTATTTTATCTGTGCTGTCCGTCTGTGGATCATATTATCAGTTATTATACTGATAAAACAGTTGGACTTTCACCAGTTTAATTCTCTTATTTTATGCCATTTCCCATGTGGTCACCATTATTTTAATGTCTTCTCCTTAAGGCACAGTTCTGTTATGTCTGGAATTCTTTATAGTGGTAAACTTTGTATGAAAGATGATATACCTGTTACTGGGCTCAGGTTCTCAGACCCAGCGACAGGAGAAATAAGGCTGGACCCCAAATTTGAAGGCACAGGCAAGGCTTTATTGGGGCACAACCTGCAGGCAAAGGGAGACACCGTCTCAACGAAAGTGTCAGATTGGCTCTCAGGACGACAGCCAGGGAATGTTTTAAAGGGGCTGAGGTGGGAAAGGAGTCATACTTAAGCACGGAGGGGCTGGGACTCCCAGGCAAGTGGGCACACGGTGTAGTTGACAGAACATGGTTCTTCATATATCAGAGGTTTCATTTGTATGTTAAGTCTCCACCTCTGGTCATGTTTTCTGGCATTAAAATGAGAGGAAAAGCTGATAAAAGGCCAAATCTGGTGGCCATCTTATCACCAGATGTTTTCCTAAATCTCCAGCTAGCAAATACTCTAGGCTCTGTGGACCAAAAGTTCTCTGCACAAGTAAAGACACAAGTGGTCTGCAGATCAGCAGCATTGACCTCACAGGGAAACCATTGGAAATGTGAAAATTCAACCCACATTACAGACCCCTACTGAGTGAGAATCTGCATTTTGACAAGATCCCCAGGAAGCTTTATTGCACGTTTTAAAAAATTACATTCATTCATTCACAAGTAAGCTGCATGCTCTTGAGCTCACAACGCTGAGCTCACAACGCTTGAGCTCACAGCACTGAGATCAAGACTTACATGGGTCTTGAGCTCACAACGCTGAGATCAAGAATTACATGCTTTAAGAACTGAACCAGCCAGGTACCCCACACATTTAAAGCTTAAGGATTACTTTTCTGGATTGCGCAGATCCTCACAGGTTTTGGTAGGAATGTGAGCTTAAATCTTTGTAGGAAAAGCCTGTGGAGATCACCCCCTACAGAAGCACAATATGCTGACTTAGGCAAAATAATCAATACCTCCCATGTCATAGTTCACTTGTTCACTTGATTACCAGTTATTAGGAAAAGAACGTTAGGAATTTTTTTTTTTTTTAATTTACAAGGATGAGTCTTCATAAAGTGAATATCTATTTAGGTATGATTCTCAAACTGAACGAGTCTACAGGGTTCTCTGTATAAAGGATATTGGCAATTTAATGATTATCAGTACTCAACTTACAAATAGATTTTAGTTCAAGAGCATGTACTTTTAAGACATTGTGTGGAATTCAGGGTACATCTGATAAAAATAAGTATGAATATGGGGACAGTAGATTCTGAGGATAACCTACATAACCACTCAACCATAGTATAACTAGAATGTATTACTTTTGTAATAGGATTCTATAGAAGGTTATATAAGTTTAATATTAGAGGTTAATTAGAAACCAAATTGAATGAGAAACTTTTCCTTATCATCGTGGATGGTGGTATTTGAGGAAGAGCATGTTTAATTAAACCAGGCAGAAAAGGCAATAAATAGAGTCTTGTAAACAAGCTGAAAGGGAGTGCTAAGTTCTATGAAAACCTTTTTTAGTTGGTCGTATTTGTTTAATGTCTAATTCATTTCAGAATTTAAATCTTGCATTTGACAGCACAGGTACAGCTAGTATGACTTTTGAAGTTATCATTCACAACTGAGATCTTTTTCTTTTTAAGTGTAAAAGAGAGGCAGGGTTTGAGGGACAGACTTTTCCTGAGGTAATTGTTGCAAGTTTAAAGAGCCAGGGAAAGAAGGAAGGGGCCACTGTGGATACTGAGTACAAAAAGAAAGCAGTAGCCTAGGGTCAAATTTAAATAAGGTATGGAGACCAGCATTATTCTCCAACAGGCTCCCCGAAGGAGGACTATAGAGGTGATGAGGGAGAGACTTTCATTGGAAAATTTCCTGCAGCTACCATTCCTGTTGTGTGTGACAGAAAAACATCTGGCGTTATTATTTAATTCTGTGTGCTCCATGTCCTGGAGACCTCAACTCATCTATTACTTAATAACATGGTTTTCAAACTGGGCTCCACGGAGCCCCTCAGGCCAGGCTGTCAAACATAGCTTCCAATAAATCCCATAAATGTACTGGACTTTCTTTTCAGCTTTATAGAAAGAAAGTGCTCTGTGGCTTAAAGTAAATTTAACTGCTAAAAATAGTTCATTATCTGTAACAATTAAAAAAAAAGAATTTTGATCTTTACCTTAATCAACAACTTCTGCCATTGTATTTTATTTCACATCCTTTCTATAGGCCTGTGGCCCCTAATCCCCCCTAATTCTTTAGAGAAGTCATAACACTAATTTTCAGTGAAACGATTACAGAGTGGTAATCTTGCCGATATCTGTGGCAATTTTGTTGATTTAACCATAGAATTGTTCATTCTTTACATTATGTTACAAGGTTCATAATTCATAAAGATACTAAATGACCTGTGTGAATCCACATATAGATTCTTATTGTAATAGTAAAACCCTGCAAATCTAAAATAGTATTAAAGTTCCATAACCCAATAGTCTGGTCTCATTCCTTCAA